TCAAGTCAAGTCACCTTTATTTATATAGCACTTTATACAGATTGTGTCAAAGCAGCTGACACAACAAAACAGTGTTAAACAAGAAAAATGTGTGCTTATAATGCAAGAGGACGATAGAAAACAGTCAGTTTATCAGTTAAAGTCAGTTCATTGTTGATTCAGTGATGTCATTGTCCAGCTCAGTTCAGTTCAAATATTATCTGTGCAATCAAGTTGACAATATTGCTAAAAATTAAGTGTCCCCATCTAAGCAAGCCAAAGGCGACAGTGGCAAGGAACCAAAACTCCATTGGTGACAGAAATGGTGAAAAAAAACATTGGGAGAAACCAGGCTCAGTGGGGGGCCAGTTCTCTTCTGGCCAGACGAAACCAGCATGGTGTGGTTTAATTCCAGGATGCAACGCACCTCAGATTGAATAGAGGACTTGTCTGGTTCTTGTGGTTTTGAGCCGATGGCCGATGAGGTCTGCACAGGGATCTGTCTCTAGGGTTCATCTAGTTGACATGGTCTCCGTTGACATTCAGGGCTGTAGAGGTCATCTCTAGGTGCTGATCCATCATCTGGTCTGGATATGGACTGGATCTGGGTGGCTACGGTGAAAGAGACTAATATTAGCATAGATGCCATTCTTCTTACGATGTAGCGAGTTCATCGGGTGTTATGGGAAGTGTTCCTGGTTCCGGTTGACCTAATTAATGCAGCCTAACAATCCTTTAATGGATTTGAATGATAGAAATGTGATAGTATATTATCTGTAGGCCAGGTTAAAGAGATGGGTCTTTAATCTAGATTTAAACTGACAGAGTGTGTCTGCCTCTTGAACAATGCAAGGTAGATTGTTCCAGAGATTGGGCGCTAAATAGGAAAAGGATCTGCCGCCCACAGTTGTTTTTTATATTCTAGGTATTATCAAATGGCTAGAGTTTGGAGATCGAAGCGGAAGTGAAGGACTATAATAATGCGATTAAAAGCTCGCTCAAGTACAGAGGTGATAAACCATTCAGGGCTTTATAAGTAATTAGCAAGATTTTAAAATGTATACAATGCTTAATAGGGAGCCAGTGCAGTGTTGACAAAACCGGGCTAATATGGTCATAATTCCTGGTTCTAGTAAGAACTCTAGCTGCTGCATTTTGGACCAGCTGGAGCATTGAAAATCTTAATTGATCCCTTGTGGTGTTCTGCAGTTGGTATTTGCCTGCTGTCTATGGTTTCTTTGATGTTAGTTTAGTATTATAATCAGCCTTGATTATGATTTTTTGTGCTATTTGAAATGTGCTTAGGGTGTGCCTCAGGGCTATGTATTGGGCTCAGTTATCAGTTTTTCATTGTCTGTATGCATTTACTTGTATCCGTCCCTCGGGTCATTTTGACCCGAAACTCATTTTAAACGATTTTTAAAAAATCGAGCGTTGATCGTTATGGTATGAGACTTTGTGACTTTTGTCACACTTGAACCGGGAATACACAAAAAAATTTCAAGTGAATTCAAGCAGTTTAAGTGGATGTTATAAAAAAAGTAACAAAAGTGTCCTTTTGACCCGCCACTGGAAAAGCATGGAATTCACGAAAAAATTTTGTCACACTTGAGCATGGAACACACACAAAAAACTCGTGTTTGAAAAAAGTCGATTCGAGGATTCTATGTGGGTGTAATAAAAAAAGTAACAAAAGTGTCCCTCACGGGTCATTTTGACCCAGCCATAGGAATAAATGGTATGTGCGAAAAAAAACAGGAATTGTTTTTTATTTGATTGTTTTTTACTATAAAAAATCTGACACAATCCAGAGAAGATGCATACCCAAATGAAGGGCTGAGACTGCAGAATGTCCCCAATGCACATAAAACTCACATACCCACACACACACACAAACACACACATGGGACACACACTCCCATTGAAACACATTATAGCATGTATGATGTTTCTGCTGGGAAATGACTGTCATTTTGAATTTCTTTTTACTTAACACAGTTAAATGTGAGTAATGGGGTGGAGACCAATGAGTTTATATCATATTTATATTTTTTAATTGATTTTTTATATGTATTACATGTTTTTGAAACTGTATGAATATGCATATGTTTGGATTAAAATTCAGCATCAATTTCATTTTTTTTTTTTTTTTTTTTTTTTTTAAAAAATATAGTTTTTTTATGTTTTGATATATATCTGAAAGCCTTGAGATATATCTGAAAGCTTAAAGGGTTACTCCACCCCAAAATTAAAATTTTGTCATTAATCATTTACCCCCATGTCTTTCCAAACCCGTAAAAGCTTTGTTCGTCTTCGGAACACAATTTAAGATATTTTGGATGAAAACCAGGAGGCTTGTGACTGTCCCATTGACTGCCAAGTAAATAACACTCTCAAGGCCCAGAAAAGTATGAAAGACATCGTCAGAATAGTCCATCTGCCATCAGTGGTTCAATCTGAATTTTATGAAGTGACCAGAATACTTTTTGTACGCAAAGAAAACAAAAATAATGAATTTATTCAACAATTCGTCTCCGTAGCAACATTTTGGAGAGTATCCACTGAACGGAAACTGCGTATGCTGTTCTACTTGTATGTGTCAGCCGCACCACGCGGTTTGTGTTCAGTGAATATTCTCCAAAATGGCGCTACGGTGGAGACAAATTGTTGAATAAAGTCATTATTTTTGTTTTCTTTGCGTACAAAATGTATTCTCGTCGCTTCATAAAATTCAGATTGAACCACTGATGGCAAATGGACTATTCTGACAATGTCTTTCATACTTTCCTGGGCCTTGACAGTGTAATTTACTTGGCAGTCAATGGGACAGTCACAAGCCTACCGGTTTTCATCCAAAATTCTTCAATTGTGTTCCGAAGGTGAACAAGGCTTTTACGGGTTTGGAACGACATGGGGTAAGTGATTAATGACAACATTTTTATATTTGGGATGGAGTAACCCTTTAATGAAGCCTCAAGTTGGTGTAGTTTTAAAGATTTCACTTGTTTGGCTCAGTTAAGTATCTCCATTGGATTCTATAGGCCCCTCTAGTGGCTGCAATCATAAAATGCAATTTTATGTCATTTTTCCCC